GTTACTAGTACGTAACGTTAGTTCGTCGTACGTAGTTAGTACGTAACGTAACGTACTACTCTACGTAGTAGTCGTCTCTACTACTACTACTACTTAACTTAACTACTCTCTCTCTCTCTCTCTCTCTCTCTCTCTCTCTCTCTCTCTCTCAATCCAACGTACTTTACTTTTAAATGATATTGTATTTCAAAAAATAATATTATACAAATTAATAAAAGATAATTATTTAAGTCTCAATTTTAACATTTACATCTTGCCTATTATTTAAAGCTAATCCAATACAGATATCCAATTCTTCTTTAACTTCCCAAGAAGTTGTCAAATAAGAAACCAGGAACTTCTTTGCTTCCCAGGAGGTTATCAAACACAGATGCCATGAACTTCTTAACTTCCTAGGAGTTTATCGAATACAGAAGCCAAGAACATCTTTAGTAACTTTTAATTTACAGTTAAAAATGAACTTCCAATTTACAGTTCTTGAACTTGCTTCCAATTATCAAACAGGCCCTAAGGGAATAGTGAATGGGGATAACTTGTATTCCAACTTCCCCCATTTTTACTATTCCCAAATAATTGAAAATTATAGTAACAGGAAAAGTCACGCTTTACACGGTTATCAAATGCATGTTAGTTAGATCGTAAGTCAATATATATCTTATAACTACTTCCATATATATCATTTTGGGTCTTTCTCTTGTCCTTTTAGAATCTTTTACTTAAATAAGATCACCCCTTCTAAATGATGTTGTTCTAGATAAATGTCGGAGATGGGCAAATCATCTAAGTTTACTTTTCATTATCTTATCCCATGTTGGACTTACCCTAAGTTATCTTATATGTATTCATTATGATCTCTATGCTTTGTTGTCTTTCCATTCATCTATTCATTATGATTTATTGTCTTTGTATTCATCCATCTCAATATCCTCATCTTAGCCACTATAGATTCATTGTTTTTTGATTGTCCAACTTTCTATTCCGTAAAGCATGGTTGACCTTACAATTGTTCTACAAAACTTGTCTTTTAGTTGCATTGGTATGTGATGATCACATACGCCTTTAGAAGCACATTTCCACTTTATCCACCCACTTTAGCTCTATGTCCGACATCTTCCTCAATTTCTCCATTCTCATGTAACCCGTATAAGAAAAAATCGAGCGGTTCAAATCAGAATTGCCCCATTAGATCAGAACTGGCCCCTACCCAGTTTCGGTGAATCATCTGGGTATTTTAAAAAACATTCAAAAAATTATATAAAATCCAAAAAAAAAATGATTTTGTTTATAATGCATTTTTATTTATTTATTTATTATTAATTTTTTTATCATTTTGGAAAATATTGGAAATTGTTTTGGCCATTAATACTTATTTTTACATGTTTCTCTTTTTTTTTTAAATTCAGAAATACTCCTAGGCACAAATCGATTCTTTAAAATCTATTTTTTTTAATTAATTTTCAACTTCATTTGGATTTTCTTTGTTTAATCATGCTTTAAATATACTTCCATAGTTTATTAGATTTTTTTTATTTTTTTAAACACTTTTTTGACCGCCTCGGACTTGCTTGGCTAGGCCGAATGAGCCGGCCGGTTTACGTGTTAAGTGTGGCATTCCATATAGGGAAACATGAGGGGCTTCCTACTAGTGTAGGAAAATTGAACCAGAAAAGTTAACCAAACATGTGCCTAGAAGCAGTTCAATCGGCCTAACTAGTAAATCGGCCTATTCAACTATTCCAACCAAGCAAGTCCCAGACGGTAAAAAAAGTGTTAAAAATAAAAAAATATAATAAAATGTAAGGAATATATTTAAATAATGATTAAATGCATTATCCAAATGATGAAAAAACATTAAAAAAATGCATTACAAAAAAATGCCTTATTTTTTGGATATATAATTTTTTTAAAAAAATTAAAAATATTTGCCCTATCACTAAATTTGGTTTAAACCGAAAGCGGTTCTGATCTAACCGGGCGGTTACCAATTAGATTACCCATTTTTTCCTTCAATGATTTCTACATCTGAAAGAGGACTTGGCATGTCCACATGGAACCTTCATCTATAATTTGATATCTACAGTTTCCGATAAAGGAGAGAGTCTTAGGGTTGGCTATGGGCTTACGTTGGCCTTGTTGGGACTAGGGCCATTCTAGTGCATAGGCCAGCTCAACCTTATTACCACCCTTAGGTAATTCAAGCATGCAAGTACAAACACTCTTGAACTTGTGAGTAAGTTTAATAATTATCAATCTGAATTGGGAATCAATAATATATATTAAATTTGATAGACAACTGACTTAGGGAGAGAAATGGCATATTTAAAAAGAGAACGGAGTTAGAAAGACATGATGCATTCAAAAGGAGAGTGAAGTTGTAGAGAGAAAGGAAATGACTAAACAAAGAGGACTATGAGAGAGGGCAAGACTATATGGATAAAGGATTTAGAGAGAGAGATGACATTGTTTAAGAGAATAGTTGGAGAGAGTGATGTATAGAATTTGAAAGGCCACGTAAAAATCAACAAGTTAGGTCAAACGCAAGCAATTGATAGAGTCTCATAATTTTTGTAGAGATTTCTGATGGGTATTGTTAGAGAAATAAAGAAATTAGAGAGTTAAAAAGAGAAAAAATAGTTTAAGAGAGAGAGACATGACTAGAGAGAGAAGGTATAATTAGAAAGAGTGTGAGAGAGAAAAGGTATAGTAAGAGATAATTAGAGCGGGAAACGTTAAGGTTAGACTCTTATGGAGGAGCCAGATAAATATATAAGGGAGAAAGGGAAAAGAGAGGAAGGGGTAGAGAAAAAAAGTTAAAAGAGACTTGGAAAGAGAGAAGGAAATGTATACAATGAGCATTTATTTATTTATTGGTAATTTAGTGGAGAAGACATGTCTCTGCCTTTTTTTTCAAATAGTTGAGGAGTTAGCTTTTTTTTAAAGTGTTATTGGGGCGGTCTCAGTTATTTATTTATTGGTAATTCAGTGGAGAATACATGCTTCTACCTGTTTTTCCAAATAGTTTAGAAATCCGCTTTTTTTAAGGTGTTACTAAGGTGGTGTTAAAGAGAATGGAAACCACAACATGATAGTTAACTCTTTTTTTTAAGTGTTATTGGGGCGATGTTAGTTATTTATTTATTGGTAATTCAATGGAGAATACATGCCACTACCTGTTTTTCCAAATAGTTTAGGAGTCCGTTTTTTTTAAGGTGTTATTGAAGTGATGTTAGTGAGAATGGAAACCACAACATGATGACTAAAATGTGGGGTGCTGCAACCACAACCCCAGCCCCTCTCCCAAGGGTAAAATTTATTGAGAGTGGGATTTGAATCCAAAATTATTTATTTTTATTGCAAAGAGGTCACAAGTATCATTGACTAATAGATTTGAATTGAGTGATTGAGGATGTGTCATTGTTAAAGTTTAAAATCTAAAATAAAATTTCTCGAATATAGTGAATAGTAATATGCTCTTATCTATTGGATTTTACATTATGACTAAAAGTAATTGTAACACAAAAAAATAAATAGTCTCATCATATACAATCCCAAAAGTGAAAGAATATGAGACGTGACAAAGAAAAATAAAAATAAAACAAGAGGTTAACTTCCTAAAACAAAAATAGGGCAACCAACTTCAAAGTAGGATGAAAGCAGGAGGTTCCCATTTTTTTGAGAACCCAAAACTTCAAAACTACGTTGCCTTATAACTTATTGTTAGCAGACAAAGAAATGCTATACCAAGCTGAACTTCTACCTCCTGGAGTTCAAATTTCCATTATTGACCTGCCCATCAAAGAACTTACGGCTGAGATGCACATCTGTGCTCACCAACACAGGCAGATCTCAGCCATCTCTATCATCGTTCATCTCTACAACCGAGGATGGATGCTCCCTTGTGTATAGCACACCACATGTGTGCTTACTTCCAAAACACACTCGTGCACATCCACACGCACCCGCTCAAGACTCCTTTCTAGAGAGAGAGGTACACTTCGAGAGAATCCAGTAAATTATCCCAAAAACTATGTAAATTACCGACCTACCCCATCTAGAGAGAGAAAGAGAGTTTTTTTAATGTAGAGAGAGAGAGGGATTTCGTCCTAACATGGCATGAAGCTTCCTGCAATATTCAGAACGAGTCTTCTTAAAGAGCTCGGTATTAGAAATTTAGAAGACGCCATTGCTGAATTTCTCTTCTTTAAACTTGAAGAATAAGCCCTCTCTGCAATCACATTTGAGCGCCGAGGCCTCAAAACTGGTATGCTTTTTTCACAAATGTTTCTTTCTCTTCTGGAGAATCTCTCTGTGGCTTCATTGAATTTCTTGTGATTCCAGTTATGCTTTTCTTCTTCAATTTCATGGAATCTTCAAGTACTTCTTATCCTTTGCTTGGTTTAGGAATTGTTTTTGTTGAATATTGATTCCCTTTTAGAAATGCTAGTTTTTCTTCGACTGTTCATTTCTAATGGCTTTAATTTTCCAGGTGCGTCTGTTCCTCTTTTTGTTTTTTGGCCATTTCTTTTATGCCCTACAAGTTTCCATGATCAATCAAAAGCAATCTCTTAATTCATTGGATTATTGCTGCTCACCACCACCATATTATTATTATTATTATGTTTTGCTTAACTAGGGTGAGACATTATACCAGAGTTTGAATATCAGAAGGATAACGAATTCTTTGCAATTACTAGTCCCATTTGATTGATACGAAATTGATAAGCAATATATAAGGGTGTATATTTCGATTTGTTTTATTAACTGTAACAGAATCAGAAGCTTTACGCAATGTGAGGTGTGATAAACCCTTGTCGATATGAGAAAATCGATCCCTTGAGTGGAACTTCATGGTTAAATCTTTTATCTCTAGAAAATTGATTTAAGGGACCGGGTATATAGCCTCTGCATCTACATGATTCTGCAGGAAGTGGACTTGTGTGATGTGAAGACCATAAAGCCACACCTGTTTTATGTAGATTAATAGATCAGGTTAATAGTCCTCTTCAAGGTTTTTTTTACTTGGCTCGGCCACGGAACTTGGCCACCAACCGGCGTAGTTACTCGGGCAAGTCTGTGAGTGTTACGACTCGTTTGAGTCTGCGCCGAGCATGAAAATGGCTAAAAAATAGTTTAAAGAAAATCTTTAATGATCTGTTCAAATCAGTAAAAAGCAAAGAAAAGGACAAACTATAGAAAATTTATATAAAAGATGAGAAGAGGTATTCAAAAAGTGAAAAAAAAAAAAAACTGTTCAAAAATTATTTTCCCAGAAAAATGAGAAAATATAGAAAAAATATTTAACAATCATTAAAAAAATAAAATCCTATGAAGTACAACTAAAACTAAATATAAGTAATTTGTAATTGATTTAAATCATCTAGGATAGATATATAAGTCAGTTAACATTAAATTTGCGTTATCTAAGTACCCCCGAATTTTGGGGGGACTCGGCAAGGCAATCTGCTGAGCCAGATTTACTTGGGTGAGTCTGAGTCTATGTCTTTTAAGGACTCCTTATACGTAGTTTCCTATTTGCACTTTTGCAGTTGATTTTTGTGGTTGTTGGTTATAGAGTGAAAAATGTCTCCAATTACTCACGTTATATACAAACTTAAAGTTCTATTAATGAAAGGAGCTTGTTCAATCCATTATTGTGGAGAGCTACATGAATGGGATTTGAGCTCCTCATAATTTTGTTCACCAAACTTGAATGAAACTGTTCTGGCATGGATCCTAGTTGTTTCTACATGATCATCATATTCATTCTTGTACTTATGAATTGTTTTTAGTAGATCAAGCTGACAAATACTACAGGGGCCAGTTTGACATAAATTTTGCACTCTTGCATCTGGGTTTTGATTGATATACCTCTAAAATGACATCCATTTTTTTCCATTCAAACTTTCATTTGCTTGATATTATCTTTTTGTACTCTCTAAACATTCTTATTTACAACCTGTGCTTATGCTTCATTTGTTCAATGGTTTGTTGATATGCAGGTATTTGAATCTGGATAGGGATTGAGGGTGTTTTGACATGATAGTCAGTATCCCTATTTTAGAATTTGCAAAACATACAGCTTGTCTTGGTGGGGGTGCTAGAAAGCATTTATTTGGTGATGTATGGACAAAAATGGCAATTTCACATTATTACTTAAGCTCTTTGCGTTTTAGTTCAAGACTTAATCATGAAAGGCATATTCATATGCTAATCTCTAGAGCTTATTCAAGAGCAACCACTGGTCCTCAACTGACCACAAGATTGTCATTCCACAATTCTTTGGGCTCGGATTTTATCGGGCAAGGAAGAAGTTTGCATCCACAGATGAGATTCATTTTTGCGAATTCTACAAGACCAAAATATTTGGGGTTTTCAACTATATGTCACAATGTGAATCTGAAGCTCTCAGTGACTTCGCATTTATCCCAAAGTGTTTCGAAAATCAGTTTTCTTGTGAAACCTAGAACTCGGTCCAGGGGAGGAATTTCAGCTTTGATGGCTTTTGGGGCTTGTGTTTGCTGTGCACATCCTGAGCAAGTAAAAGCTGAGTCACCCGTGTTCGAAAATGATCACGATTCTGAGTGTGATCCTTCCTCTGTCAAGTCTGTGCATGGAAAGAATGTTTACACTGATTATTCAGTAACTGGTGAGGATTACTATTTTTGCTGGGTTGTTTTTCATTCCTGCTCCACTATGCTTATAAAACATAATCCTTATTTTGGATGATTAGGCAATAAATATTCATGTTATCAAGTATATAGCTTTTTTTGACTCTTAAAATCCTATCAACATATCGAATGACATTCTATAATTTTTTTTGATGACTACATATGCCTTACCTGTAGTAGAAGCATTGAAGTATGGTGTATATTTTCTGCATACATAGTATCTTATAATTGCCTGTTGTATGTCTGCATGGCTGCTGGGAGCTGGTATTGTGTTGAACTTATGCTTTGTAGGTTCAGTTTCGGAGAATACTATTGAAGAATACATGAGAAAAAAAAAAAGTATTGGTAAAGATATAATTCAATAAAGGCAAAAAGAAAAACAACTGATGCAATACTCTTGCTTGTGGTTATTCTTTCAGAAAACTTGTAGTTGTAGGCAAATAAGTGTATCATTCACTTGTACAGTTCAAACATATAGTCACAGGCTTGCTCTAACATATTTTTGTGTGGGCATATATCAGCTGTGAGGTTTGCAATTCCTGGTCCCATTATTGATTTGGACTGGTTGAGGATCCTGTTTTCAACTTTAGAGCTCTCACTTTTAGATAGAGCCATAGCATGTACAGAAGTCTTCGTATGCACTTTTGTAGGCTCATCTGTGATCCCTCTTGATAGCAAATAATTGTATTCCTGTCAAAAGAGCACAGAAGCCCTTTAGACTAGCCTTGTATGAAATAAGTATAATTTCCTCCGCACACATACTCATCTATGCGAACTGAAGATCAGGTGAAATTTCAATAAAGCACCCCTCATGGTAATAAAGTACAAATCTAGGAAAACTGTGAATCTGCTTTTGAAAGGGCAGGTGAACAACCATACGCAGCTAAAACTCTATGCCATGAAATTGGTTATCCATGGTTTACTAATTCTCCCTCAAAATGTTATGCCTTGTTTGATTATATCCGTAGTAAACAGGTCTGTGATATTCTCTCTTGTGTATCTGATGATGAATCTTGGTGAGAACTCTAGAATTAAGCCACTAGTCAATCTTTATGTGCTTCTTTGTCCCATTGAAAACATGTTTAGGAGGTTTAACTGTTCCTCTTATGTTATAACTGTACGAAGCAACTCAAAAACATCATGTACACTTGCATCCCAAAAAGGTTTGAAGCTGGAACCCTTGCTGCAAATGTATATATTTTTCCTTGCATTACCCCACCGTACTTAAGCCTGACACGACTGATGTTTATAACTTATCCATGTGTTAGATCAGTGTTCGCAAAATCGAACTGGAAAATTTAACCAAACATGGGGCCAGAAGCGATTTAACCAGCTTAATTGGTAAACCGGCCGATTCAACCGTTATAACTAGGCAAGTTCTGGGCGGTCAAAACATTGTTGAAAAAAATAAAAAAGATAATAAAAATCTACGAAAATATGAAAAGCATATAAAGAATGATTAAAACAAAAAAAATTCAAATGAAGTTGAAAATTAATGAAAATAATGAATTTTAAAGAATCGATTTGTATCGAGGGGTATTTTTAAATTTTATGAAAAAGATGGGAAAATATAAGAGTGAGTATTAATGACCAAAACAATTTATATTTTTACCATAATGTAAAAAATATTAAACAAATATATTACAAACCAAATTCTTTATTTTTGGGATTTTATATACATTTTTTTAATTTTTAAATACCGGCCGATCACTAAAACCACCCCAAACCAGAACCAGCAAGGGGCCGGTTCCGATCAAACTGGGCGGTTACCGGTTAGATCGTCTGATTTTTCCAACAGTTGAGCCCAGAAGGGGTTGAAGGCAGGAGCTTGATTTCTCACCATTAGGAATTTCAGCCCAATCAGGATGTGGATACATATCTTGAGCTATTAAGTGCTTCAATTTTCATTTACATTGTTGTGTATATTGGACATTATATACTATGACTTGCCTGCATATTTAGTTTTACTGTACCCAGGAGAAAAGGATATAGTTCCATTGAATGTGAATTCAGAATGAAGTTGTTTTCTTTAACCTCCAGGCATACCAGGAGATGGGAGATGTATGTTCCGTTCTGTAGCTCATGGTGCATGCCTAAGGTCTGGAAAGCCTCCTCCAAATGAGAGCGTCCAAAGGGAAATGGCAGATGAATTGCGAGCCAGAGTATGTCATGCACTCTTTTCCTGTGGCAAAGAAGAAAAGTTTATATATATGCCTAGGTTCAAACTAGTAACTGGGTTTCTATAAGTACTAAGCGTTTTTTCTGTTTTTTTTGTTGATATCATCGTTTTATGCTTCCTAGAAAGTTTATTTCTAGAAGTACTATCATGTTAGTATTTAGGGGAAAGTACATTGTATGCTATCCCATTGACTATAGAAAACCATACTAGGTTGTGTCATCACTATCCAATGAAATGATGTTTGGAGATTGAGTGAGAAGCATCTGAGCGTGGGATGACCCCTATGGTAGGCACCACTCTCTCCATCACCACCCATCATTTTGCTGGATGGTGATCATGGTTTGCTTTCCCTATTATTATTTGATGACAAGCTGCAGTTCCATGAGTATGCTGTGATATTCTCTTAGCTTCCTCCTGACAAGTTCATACTGATTTCGATAGGTTGCAGATCAATTTGTCAAGAGACGTTCAGATACTGAATGGTAAGTTGGCTTTCTTGAATCCTATGATCACGTGCTGCAATAAGTGGTAGCCTGAAAATCCTAACCTAAGAAATGTGTATAGGTATGATTTTTATGTTTTAGCAAAGGTTCTTATTTGGTCCTATGTTTGAGTACGAGTAGCAGGTGCAATGGTAATGGGAGATTCATTATTGATAATCGGATGAATAAAAATAAAAGATTGTGGCTTTACACCCAAGAAATCAAGACCATTCTCCAGAGAGGGTTCTGCCCTCAAAGAATCCAGCTATTCCTTGGCAAGTTGTGTGAAAGTTTTGCTAGTGCTACATTTCCCAAATGCTCCCCCTCCCCCTGCTGATAATGGCTAATTTTCCCCAATGCTTGTATAGCTTTGCATTTGGCTTTTAATGTTTAAACCATTAGTGGGTTTTTAGATCTTGATTTCCTGTGTAACCATTTTGATTAAGGGGGTCATGGAATATGAGCACATGCATTCTTAACCATATGCCTGCTTATAAAGATTCTAACCAGACATATTTCTGATATCCTAAAGCTGGTTGTTGCCTTGTTCCTGAAGAGTTTTTGAGGGCACTAGGACATTCCGTCTTTTGACTAGATTTATATGGATCTTGACTCAACTGTATAATTATTTTGTTGGGCTGTTCTGCAAACAAAGCTGATGTACCCTTTCTTGGAGCAAAGCACGGTTTTGAAGGTTTGGATGCCAGATAGGGTACCAATAAAAGCTATCAAGACCATCTAACGCTCATATTTTATTCCAATATTTTGATGAAGCTATATTCAAAGGAAATCTATATTGTGATCCAAATCTTGAGGTCTAAATTTGGAAATTAAGAGCTAGATTTTTTTGTTTCATGATTATTATATGTTCTTATTTACTTCATACGATATAGACCTTTATTTGTTTTTATGGTAGAGCTGTTGTTCTTTACAGGTTTATAGAAGGTGACTTTGACACTTATGTGTCACAGATTCGGAAACCGCATGTTTGGGGAGGTGAGCCAGAGTTGCTTATGGCTTCACATGTTCTCCAGTGAGTACAATTTTATTTTGTTGCAAATTTGACATTTGTTTCCATATACAAAAATGGCACACAATGAGCGTGTAGGGGCTGATCCGCAACGGATTTTTTATTTATCTTTTCTTTGTTGATCATTCCTCTAAACAATTTTTCTTAATTTTCCTGTTAACAATGACATTAAATATGATATTTGATATGGACCACCTTAATAGATCGATTCATTAGCATATCCATTTCAATATTTGTTGTGAGTCCAGATAATCTTATGTAGAGGTTGGAATCCAAATGCTTATGAAGAATAGAGATCTCAGGCTCCATTTGCATCGTCTGATAGTGATGCCAGTGGACGTAAATGGGCAGTTTTTGATGCCTTGATAATAACCACAGATGGCAAACGACTTAGATAAATCTGCAATTTGAGCTGGGCTGGATGAATATGCTGCTTACAGTTGCAATCTGTGTTTGAATCTCACAGCTGTCCTGCCCCAAAAAATAAAAATAAAAACAAAAAAACACACACCAAACTCCTGCACCCACTCAACCCCGACATATGCACAGTAAAAAAAATAAAAAGGTTATCTGAATATGGATGTTTCTATTGGAGAATTGAGCTGCAAAAGTTATATTTCCTTTCTGCAGAATGCCAATTACTGTGTATATGCACGACGATAATTATGGAGGTTTGATAGCAATTGCTGAATATGGACAAGAGTATGGGAAAGACGACCCAATCTGTGTTCTCTATCATGGATATGGCCACTATGAGGCATTGCAATTTGGTTCTCTTTAGGTCACATTTTATGATTTTCTGGCACCCATCTGGAGAGAGCACTTTGATGTCACAAGGTCTTCTGAAGTTCAATGATGAGAAACTGAAGTATATAGAAGCTTACAAATTAATAGAAGCTCACAACATTGAAAATTGATGCTGGTGGATCATTCATATGCAGTACGGTAGGTGAGCAATGCATGTGCCAATGTTGTTCCTTTTGACTTACCCAAAAAAATGCTGTACCTTTTGTCAGTACTCCCATTGATTTGTACAAACATTTCTTCTTATGGCTGTATGTTATTGATTTGTTGGGATAAGGCTTGGATGATGATGACGTATGTTATTGATATTCGTCTCCAATTCCTCAGCAATAAATTGCTCGACTTTTTCAGATTCTGTGGTTGTCAATTTGCTCACTGAATTTGGCTTACAATGTTAAGCCCTGTTTGATTTCCAGCCAAATTGCAGCACATTTTTTTATTGAAGGCATGTTTAATCAGAAATATCAATGAATTCTTCAATGCAATTGGGCACTCAAATGTTTTTGCCAATGGTTTTCAGAAAAACTCTCTCTGTCCCCTTTTCCCACCACCACCACTTTGCCGTCCACTCCACGACCACCACTGATGCTGCCTTTCTACCACAAATACCACCATAGCACTGGTGCTATGGTACTTCCATGGCTACTTCACCACTCCCATCATCACCAGCACTTCGTTGCCACTATCACTACCACCATTAGGCCGTGACTACTGATTCACCACCACCACCACAAGGCCCACACCACCATTGCCACCACTGTGCTGCTGCCATCGTCACCACTAACACCCTCACAATCACCACCACTACTATTGCACCACCGCCATCACTACCATCACCTTACATGGTCACCATCTTGCTAGAATTCATTGAAATTCAAATTAGAACAATCAAGCATTACACAATGCACCAAATTGCATTTTGTTTTTTTACAAGTTGATAATATATGCACCAATTTGCATTTTGTTCATTTACAATTTGATAATATATACAAACAATATACCAAATTGCACTTCCGTCATTTACGATATGAAAAGAGAACGTCACTTGATGCTGGGTGAAGCTTCTATAAGGTGCCCTCCTTATATTGTAAAAGGCGCGCCTTTGAATTTTGCCCAGAGATGGAGTTCCGGTGTTGGAAGCTTATGATGACTCGAAAATTTATTTTTATTTTGAACAGTAAAATTTGAAGTTTTGAAAATGGTACAGAACTAGAAGATATTTAAACATTTAAAAATCTTTGAAATAGATGGTCCAAATAATCTTGTTATAAGATGTTCTTTTTGTATGACTTGAAATTCTTTTTTCTTCATGCTCGTGCATCTTGAGATCGAGATGATCAAATTTGAGGTTTTCCTAAAGTCGGAGCAGTCTTATAGATGATTTTGATATGCATCGTACTTCAATAGTATGAGGTAGACACGTTATGCAAACATTTTTCCTTTGATATAATGTGACAAGCAATGGATGCCTGGTATATTGAGAGAGGAAAGGGACATTGTGTATACAGAAACCTCCAAAATAAGGAAGTTTTGGAAAGACAGAGGATGGGGGGTTTCAGGTGGGCCAGCACATGCAAATTGGTGGTGGAAGATTGCCGAAATGATTTTCTGATGGCTTAGACTTATTGTAAGATCTACAAATCTCTTCATGTTTTGGAGTTGGTTCAAATTCAAAACGTGTCGGTCTCCATCTCAGTTGATGTTATGGATATTTATGATGATGAATACATGTTGTGGATATTTAAAAGTTAGGACCGGCAATGGGCCGGGCGGCTATCCGACTAAACCTGGCTCAGGGCTTGTATATTTAGTCCTTGCTGGGACTAAAACTATTAATTAGTGGCCTGGCTAAATATAAAGGGAGGGCCCAGGCCCATCTTTAGGCCAAGACTTTTAGCCTGCTGGTTAGGGCAGGGCCATTGCCACCCTTGCTCAAAGTTCGTTAAGCTCACTTTGACCGCTAGTATGCTCAAGTCAGCCAACGGGCTTTCGTGTTGGGTCCGGTTTTGGGCATGCCGCATGTTAAGCCCTGGGCATGCTTAGTACGCCTAAATCATGTCGAGTGGAGCCCGAACTAGCACCGAATATAATAAAGGTTTGTAGTAAGGATCCGGTTTCTATACGGCCAAGCCTGCATATGTAGAAATACACCCCTTTTAATAAATCTATTTTTGAGATTGAATTTTAAGATTTAACATTTAAGGACATGTAATATCTAATATAAAGATCATGAATATAAAAAAATAAATAAATTTTAAAAGCTAGAATAATAATTTTAGTAAAAAAACATTTGGACGATTACTTTCTATAGTTTTTAGATAGAACACCTACTTGCATCAATTTTTAAGATGGATGCTTTACATTTTTTGGACAGCATAGGTAGAAATGCGATATAGCCCGCATGAAAACTTTTATCTTACCCACTCTCTCCTCTATCCCACCAAAATAACCCACTCTCTCCTCTATCCCACCAAAATAGGCGGCTCCAACCCCTTATAAGTGGTGTCCAATTGTAACGCTTTGAGACTATGTAAAGTTTCTATGTAAAGTTCGGATGTCTCGGGCACTGTGTAAAATGCAGTTAGGCATTAGGGCTCCGACATTGTATAAAGTTCGGTTCAGCAGTAAAGCTTTGGCACTGTGTAAATTGACGTTCGGCATTAGGGGCACTATACAAATGCGGTCTGACAATTGAAAAAGGCAGTCATGCAGAGGCGATCCGACGATTCCACAGGGTGCTCCGATACTCCGATAATATGCTATTAGATCCAAATGTCAATGTCAAATATGTCCAAATTGATTTTTGCGTAGCGCTTTTATCTAAAAAATGAATTTTTTTTTCTCTTGGGCATTTGCATAGAAAGTTTGTTTTGAAGAATATCTAAAAAATGAATTTTTTTTTCTCTTGGGCATTTGCATAAAAAGTTTGTTTCGAAAAAAAAAAGTGAGGGAAAAAATTACTTTGGGTAAGTTGCTTAAAAAATGTGGTCTTAGTTTGGTTTGTTTTTTTTTTTTTACCCCAAGAAAAAGAAAACCTGAGGAGAGAGAAAGGTAGAGAGAGCAAAATATAGACTGAGAAAAGCAGAGAGAGAGAGAGAGAGAGTGTTCAAGGGAGAAAATTGAGTTACCATTCTGAGTTCAGTAATCTTCCAAAACTCGACACTCAAAAACTGTTTGGGAGTATTCGGTAGTTAACATCACACAACAGAAACGAGTCCAGAATGAAGTGGTGAGAAGAATCCAACAATTTCTCTGCAACTGACTGACTTTAATTTTGAAAATTTTCATAACATAACAGGAGCTCTGTTAGGGGCAAGGCCGTGAATTCCAGGAGGCTGTTAGGCAAGGAAGGCCGTGAATTCCAGGAGGTAAGAGAGCTAGAGAGAAAAAGGGAGTTCAAAAAAATTAAAGTTCCAGTCACTTTCGGACAGGACTTCACACTTCCCAAAACTGAGCAAATTATTATTAAAAATTTAAAACAAACCAGAGCTTCCCTTTTCAAAAAAAATCGGCTTCTTTCAAAGTTCAAACCATTAACCGCTGCTTTTCTCTCTCTTCAATTTCCCAAAAGAGAGAGCTAGAGAGAGAAATGTGCTCTCATTTTTCCACTCTTTTTCATATTCCATGAATCCTCTGCATCTCCAAAACAACCCATTTCCTGCAAACAGAAGTGGCAATCCAATCTCCATTACTTCATTCACTTCCACGACAAACCCACTCTGAAAATGAGCCTCCTCCTCCGTTGCCTCTTCTCTCTCCTCTTTCTATACCCCCTTCCTTCTCTCTCTCTAAACCGTGATGGTCTCTCTCTCCTCGCCCTCAAATCCGCCATTACCAACGACCCAAACGACGTTCTCTCTTCCTGGAACGAAACCCACGAAACCCCATGCCATTGGGCTGGAATCCAGTGCATTTCCGGCCAAGTCGCAGGAATCTCACTCTCTGGCCACTCACTTTCCGGCTACCTCCCCTCTGAGATAGGTGCCCTCTCGCACCTCCGCCTCTTAATACTTCGCCAGAATTTCTTCATCGGAAAACTTTTTCCAGCCATCGGGAACCTCACCAATCTGACCCACCTAGACATATCAGATAACCAATTTAATGGCTCAATCCCAAAAGAAATCGGCAAACTAAGCCAAATTTCTGGGACTTTAAACCTCTCCTGCAATAGATTTTCAGGTGGAATCCCTGAAACTTTAGGAAATCTCCCAATTTTTGTTAGCCTGGATCTGACCCACAATGACCTGAGTGGCCGGATTCCTGCCGCTGGAAACTTGGTAAACCAAGGACCAACTGCTTTTTCCGGGAACCCCAACCTATGTGGCTTCCCTTTAAATAAGCCATGTGAAGTTTCAGAGGTCGCCGGAAAAGTTAAGGGTTTGCCAGAAAAGGTGACACCAAAGCGAAGGAAAGGCCCAATGGTGCTGATTTTGGCCGGAAATTTGGCCGGAGCTGCTGCTCTCGTCATCTTGGCAACCTTTTTTTGCCGTAAAAGTAGAGGAGGTTGCCGGAAATGTGAGAAGGGGGGAGAAAGCGGGGGTTTAAGGGTTGTGGATGAAGCGGTTGTGTATGGTTTGGAGAGGGAAAACGGGGGTTTGAGGGTTGTGGATGAAACGTTTGTGTATGGTTTGGAGGATCTTCTGAGGGCGTGCGCTTATGTCGTCGGGAAGGGAAAAATGGGAATTGTGTATAAAGTGGTGGTGGCGGACGGGGTGGCGCTCGCGGTTCGGAGAGTGGCGGATGGTGGTAGGGCCTCTTTTCTAGGTTTGGGCCAAGGTTCGGTAGTGAAGGAGTTGGAGGCGATGGGTAGGTTCGGGCACCCGAACCTAGCGAGGCTTAGGGCTTATTATTGGGAAAAGGATGAGAAGCTTTTGATCTCTGAATTTATTAGCAATGGGAGCTTGTCTCAGGCCCTTCATGGTAAGTGTGATTCAAGTGTCTTTATTTTTTTTTAGTTTGATTTTGAGTATTTAGGGCTTTTTAAAATATTTGTCCAAATTTTCAAAAAACATAGAAGTGCATTATTCTGGCCAATTTTTCAACCACCATGCCGGAAAATTGTCCGGAATCTTACCTTCTTTGGCTTTTCTCGCAGGCATATGTGGGCTTAACCGTCCACCCCCTCTTCCATGGCAATCAAGGCTAAACATAGCGAAGGGAGCAGCAAGAGGCCTAGCCCACCTCCACGAGGGCAAATTCGTCCATGGGAACATAAAATCGTCGAAAATTCTCCTCGATGAAAACTTTCGAGCTCGGATCTCCGATTTCGGCCTCTGCCGCCTCTTCAATTTTCACCATCTGCCCCCACTCCAGAGAGCCAAAGTTCCACCACCTTTGAGCTTCTATTACTTGGCCCCAGAGGCCAGGGTCCCGGGCCACAGGCCAACCCAGAAATCTGACATTTATGCCCTGGGGATCGTGCTAATGGAGCTGCTCACAGGCAGGCCACCGGCCTTTGAAGAAAGGGGGGACAGTATAGAGCTTGCGAGCTTTGTAAGAGGGGCATTTCAGGAAAATTGTGCGCTTTCGGAGATTGTGGATCCTGCCCTTCTGAAAGAGGTTTATGCAAAGAAGGAGGTGCTCAGAGTTTTTCATGTAGCGCTCGGTTGCACAGAGGCTGAGGCTGAGTTAAGGCCAAGGATGAAGGGTGTTTCAGAGGCTTTAGAAAGAGTAGGAGAAGTGGGTCATCTATGAAGTGACTTTAGTGAGACCCAACTTTTGGTGAAGCTTTTTTGATGTATTTTTGTTCTTCATGAAACAATCATGGAGTACTTTGCTGTTCATCTTCAGTCTAATGCAAAAGAAAAAAAAAATTCTTCTATTCCTCTCATTGGCCTTGATTAGAGCTCTTCACGTTATTTGGACATGCATCAACTCACTTAAACCAATGGATATTCAAACTCCAAGTGAAATTACTTTGGTACTCAGATAATTTTTGAGATTATATAAATAAGGAAGAGATGAATATTTCACCCAAGTTACTTGGATCCTGCAGGGTGAATATTTCACCCAAGTTTCTTGGATCCTGCAGGGTGCAAGTCTGACCCGAGCCACTTGAGTTTATTTAATCTTTTAGGGAAATTTATCAAACGACTGATAAGAT